GGGTGGGTACAGAGAGGACTCCCCTGTTACACTAATTGACTTTGGAATGTCAAGACAACCTTACACTACTGGGATAAGTTCCGCTTGGCCATGGTTTATAATTATTTTTATACATTGATGGTTCTATTTGTTAGGAGTTTGTTGGGAGATTTTTTTGTGTCTATATTTATCAGGGATATTGGTCTTTTAGTTTTCTTGCGATGTGTTTGCCTGGTTTGGTATCAGAGTAGTATGGCCTCACAGGATGGATTGGGAGGTACTCTTTTCTTTTCCTTATTTTATTTATTGGGGGGGGAGGGATATTCTTTTCATTTACATGTTTTGTTAGGGTTTGTGAAGGAGTGTTAGTAATGCTTTAAATATTTGACAGAATCGTTAGTGATGCCATCTGGGCCTGGCCTTCTCTTCATGGGAATTTTTCTATATTATTAATTCAATCTCTTTACTTCTTGTAGATCTATTCAGATTGTTTCTTTTGAGTCAGTGTGTTTGTGACTTTCTAAGAATCTGTCCATTTCATCCAAGTTATCTAATTTGTTGGCACAAGAGGAGGTGGTCAGCTGTAGGTTCATTTTTTCCTCATCTTACCCATTCCTCCAGAAATGGTTCTTTCTCTGAGGTCAAGATATGAAGGGGAATGCTGAGAACAGGGAAGGAGGAAGCATTCTGCTGAGGGCACCAGTGCTCTAGAGCGAGGCTTTTCAAAGGCAGGAGAACTAAGGGGACAGGAGGCCCCGAAGAAGGAGTGGGCAGTGTGGGCAACTCCTGAGAGACCTCGTTCGCAGCTGCCGTGAGGACAAAATGCGGGAGTGAGGAAGAAATGATCAAAGGTTTCCTGGGTGGCAAGATCCCTGTGCGAGAGACCTTTGAGGAATTTCACAATGCAGTCTTAATTACTTGTTCAAGATTTCAAAACTTGTGCCCTTGGGAGTGGCCCTGCTCAGCAGCTGAAGCTGGGGTGACACAAGTCCAGTATCACTGCTGGCCACGCTGCCACCTGTATCTCCTTTTCTCACCTGCTTCTCCCTTTCTCTCTTGGCCTTCTCCACCCCCCATCTGCACCCGTACACCTGCTCCCAATGTCCCCTCCTCATCCCCATACTTCCGTGGCTCAGTTCGTGGCAAGGCTCCCTGATACCGGCTCCCATCATCAAAGCTTTTTCCAGGGCTGTTATCAGCAGCGGCTGAGAGTTTATGGGGTACAGAGTGCACTCACGGAGGGTCCATCTTAGGGTATGGGGATGACCTTGACATCCCCAAATCAGCGGCCTCAGGGCCCTTCCCATGCTGGTTATGGCAGATGCACACCCTCCCTCTGTCTGACATGCCCCCTCAGTTCCTCTGACAAAAGGAAAAGAGCATGCCTTTCAAGGAAGAGTTCACAGTCAGAACTGGAGTGGATTTAGAAATTGGGATGTTCTTGGTGACACAGAAAACTGTGAGGGGCCTTCCACAGAACTTGAGAGGTGGTGATAGCCAGTGCCTAGAATGGGCTAGGCTTTCTCCTCTCTGCCCTCAGCACTGACGTGCCTTTACCATGCCATTCTACAGATGAGGAAACGGAAGCACAGAGAGGTTACGTAGTGTCCAAGGTCACCCAGCTATGGGATGGTGGAAGCAGGATTTGATCCCGACAGTCTGGCTAGGAGATTGTGCTCTTGATGGTGACACTTTCTGTCTGAAGTAATAATGAAAAGGAGATAGTGCAGTTGTAGAGAACTTGCTTTTGAGAAATTATACTGTGGAGAGGGAAAATGAATGTGCATTTAGGGGAAACACAGCATGGGCCGATGTGGGACAGCTCTCTCTGCCTGGAGGAACGTGTATGCAGTGCCTCAGGGTTGGAGGGGGGCTCAGTGAGGCGTCCACGGGGGGCACACTGGGGTCTTTGCCAGTGAGGCTGCAACTCAGGGCCCTGCAATGCCCACCGAGCTGTGCGGGGCCCGCAGTCTGTCCACAGGCCGGGACACGCCCACACCTGCTGCTGTTTTGCCTGTGCAGAATCCCAGCACACTGCAGAAGCTAAGTCAGGAGCCCGCAGGTCAAGGGAGCTGGGACCCCATACAGAATTCACGACAGTCACACACACACACACACACACACACACACACACACCCCAACCTCTCCCAGAGCTGAGGCCGAACTCTGCTAAGGGCTTGTTCCCAGGACCCTGACCCCCAGGAGACCCAGTCCACTCCTCTGCTTTGCTGGGTGTTACCCACACCATGGTCCGGAGTGAGGGTCTTGTCCCTGCTTTGGGCTGGACCCGGTTGAGGCTGCTTCAACACAGAAGGCCTGGACACCGGCCCCACCTCTCTGGCTCTGTGGGAACAGTGAGATGTATTCATGTTCACAAACATCCTTTAAAAGCACAAAGTGCCACCCTCGTGTGCTGGCGGCAGCCCCTCCAGCCTCTCTGCTGCCAACCTCGCCCTGTCCAGGCAGCTGCCTGGTGTGGAGGGCAGTCAAGGGGGGGATTCAGGGAGTAGAAGAGAGGGAGGGGGTTACCTGGGGTAGATGTGACTGTGGCTAAACAGATCCATACCTCTGAAAGCCTGAGCCCTCCTCATGGAGACGTGGGATCTATTTGTCTTAAATAGACCAAAA